AAAAAATATTTCAGATTCTCCATAAGTGCAAAAAACAGTAAACAGAGATAGGAAAAGATTACAGTTTATACATTATAAATTATGACACTCATGGCAAAGTTTCCATAATTTAACTCAATTGCCCACAGAGGTGGAATTATGGCTGCACTCTTGAAATATGCCACTGCTCAACAACTCTAATGATTTGCTCAAAATACATTATGCACAGATTGGGCTGATAATATATTGTACATACTAGTGAAGGCCTTTAAAGCCTCCAATATAGCACCATTCAGTTCTTGTGTACTGTCCTTAATAATGGCAATGAAGCATTCATTCCTCCTGTTCACCTGCTTCCTCTTCTTCTCCCTATGACTGGATGTTGATGCTGCTGGTGGTGGCACAGATGATCCTGATGTTGGATCAGTTGATCCAAGTGTTCCTGCTGGTGCAGACGCTGGCATAATTGGTGGTGGTGTCTGCCTTTTCCCTTGAAGACAAACTTTTATCTCCACAACTCATGTTTCTGCTTCAATTTTGGCACACAGATCGACCTGGTTTGTTTACATTTATCTTGGATAAGGTGTACCAACCCTCTAGGGTTGCGGCATTCGTGTTACTAAATAGTAACCCGATGTTCGGAATTGATATTCAAGTTTGACGAATCCATTTGATGGAGTAACCTGACATTCAGGATTGCTCTTCGGACTTGCTGCCCCGAGTGTTTAAAAAATGGCCGATTTTGGGTGTAAACACTGACAACAACAATGGCATCCTACCTCCTCTTGTGTGACCTTATTATTCTTGATTTATATTGTAGAAGGAGCATTCATAAACATTATTTAAAGAATATAATTTGCATTTTTCATTCATTGTATTGTCTTGGGGGGGAAAAGAGGGTAAAAATGCACACAAAAGTTATGAAAAGGTCACACTAGGGAACGCATCTCATTATTATTGCTTTATTTTAATGGTAATTAATGATTCAAGATACGATGATTCACCTTACACTGAAACATTGGAGGACACATTACCGTCGTTATTCGAGGCTTTACTGTACTGTACTTGTTTTTCAATCGGTCACTTTTGTGCTCTACTGAACACCGAGTAATTTGTCTGGTGATCTATTACTCAAAAGTTTGACTAAAAATGCATAAATTAAGAGTAATTTGAAGAATATTAAAAATAGTAAGGTTTTACTGTGTATGATATATAGGAAGCAAAATTACACTTATGAAAATCAAAATTGTTATTTGACAGTATGATTTGCTGCTGTTTATTATTCATCTATAAATTGTGGAAAATGCATTACTCAAATTACATATGTACATTTCTTGAACAAAAGCAATAATTAATTAAATTAAATTCAGCATTGTGTGTGTACAGTATTGAGCTGTAATGAAAATTTGAGTAAAGACCTGAACAGACAAGCTGAAAGCAGTTTTGTGGTTACCCTTTCCACTTTCTCTGGTAGAGGAATTGTGAAAATATATACAGTACTGTACTAGTATGAAGTTTGCACATACTCAACAGCAAATCTACTTTGCAGTTGATTTATTTAAAATATATTACCTTAATATTCATAACCTTAAATATGTCTTGTGGCAGTCAAATATCAGGAATAAAATAAATATTTATTATAAAATGATTATATTTTTGTCTTGAAGTATACAGTATTACAACTTGCTCTGCTTAGATTTCTCTTGATAACAGAAGCATTACATAACCTACAAAAGGATATTTTTTAAAATGAAATACTTGTACAGTACAAACATTCAATGCCCAAAATAAGACCAACATAATTTAAAACTTTAATTCACGGAATATTTTTTTTTACTTTCATTTGACTCCAGTACAGTATTTCAATTGAACAGCATTGTTCCGGAATTCTTGAAGATTCATAAGTTAAATTTCCCTTCTGGGTCCAAGAGAACACATCTTAAGGTAGTCTTAACACTCTTAAGGCCCTAATTGCCCTTACTCATATACAGTACAGAACATTTAGGCAGTAATTAAGGATATTGGCTGGCCAGCAAAATAAACAAATGGATGTTTTGGCGAGTATAAGTTGAAATTACTGTACTAATTACATTTTCAATAAATTTACATTTTGATTTTATAAAACACCATTGCCTAAATTGAATTATACATAAAATGCAAGAATATCCACTTTCCTATGGTGCTAAAAAAGAAAAGAAAACCAAGGTAAATAAAAAGGGTGTAATGGATTTTGGAATATAAAGGGTGGCTCAAAAACAGACTTTAGCTGTATTCTTTTCTCATTATTTCATTCCGAGTCAGTTATTTTCTTAAAAATATTAGTTTTGTAAGATTTTATTTACCGAATGTTTAGTTCAGGCCTTGAGAGAGCTTATGGTGTTGATAGAATTTATGTCCGATGCAAATTTATTCAAAATAAATGTACAAGTGGCGAACTCAAATCCCATCAGCCGGAAATAATTGCAGTATGGAACATTTATCTTCCACTAGATATTATCTACTGTATTTTTAAAGGAATATAAAATGTTTATAAAACTTGATCCTATGCTAAATTTTCCACAGAATCAAATGCTGTTATCTAGTCTCCTATTACTATCACTGTTAACTAAAGCAAATTCAATATCTTCGCTGCTCTTCAACACTCGATACGGATGACAAGGCATGATGAGTCGTGATAATGGCTAAAATATGAATCGCAATAATCACTACACTGGAGGAAATATTCCAACAATTATCCACAATATACAGTTAATGATAGTTACACACACACACGTAATCCAGGGTACGGAGTATGGTGGGATTTAAATGTTCACGCATGATAGCAACCCTCCTCGCTGAAGGTCGTATATCAGACTAACGTTTGACAAACTTATCCTGCAGGAAAAGACATACTATCTTGATAACTGTACCGGCGAGTCCAAGACCATGAGAGTGTTAACGAAATTCTGATGCGATTTTGGCTGCCAGAGGAAAAATTTACAGTATAAAGCTTCGATAATCTTTGATTTATAAGCTAGTTTTGCTATTAATTCAAGTTGAAATAAGTGGCATACACTATGATAAAATATGAAAAAAAGAATAAAAACATCTGCAGAGATGGTACGAAAATTTCTGTTGTAGAACAAAGTCCAAATAGGTATGTAACTTAATTATAAAGTATAACAGAACACAAAAGTAGGGTACAGCAACAGAATTTTTTTCAAAAGTCTAGATATAACATTAAGAAACTTATGCCATGAGAATAATAATTTGTTCAGTTAAGATGTAACACATACTGTAAAGTAATAAAAAATAAATTAAGCTTTTGTGGCAAGTAAGTTTATATAATAAAATATATTTCATTGATTACAGAAGACAGTGACTAATATAATATTTGCAATGGTATTTTTCTAAAAAAAGAAAAGGTAATTGCAAGAAAATAAAAATCCATACAACCCTATTATGCTAAATTTATTTCCCACTGTAATATATGTAAAATATTCTTCAGCATCACTATGGGTAAATGATATCAATTTTAAAAACATCTTTAACAACCTGTTGCACTGCTCAATCATATGAGAAAAGTGTTTAGAACACCAGAGATTTAAACAATATCTGATTTCCTATTGGAAACCTTCATTCTTGGTTCTCTATAGAATATAGACAATAAATTGAGGTAATCAGTTCAATACTCATACACAGGTACACAACCGATTTTCTGGCACACTTGGTTCCAAAAACTTTGCCAGATTATCCATTTTGCCAGACCAACCGAGGTCAGGTAATAATAATTCAACAATACACCTCTGACCCACTAATTATATACCTCCCATGTCTCTAAAGCACCATGGACTGCTTGAAACTTAAATTAAACAAATATTAAATGTGAAAAGGCCATAATTTTGAGCAACATTACTGTACACACTTTGTACTCACAGGTACTACACTAAAGGACCAAAATTTTTATCTCTTGTGCAAACTATGTCATGTTTATACTCAAATCAATCACTATCTTACAAGGATTCCAGCAATGTAAGTTTATTCTGCTAAGTTTATTCTGCGACATTTTATAAGATAAAAACTTTAAGCCTAAAACTACCTTCACCCTGGCTGGGAGGGAGGGAGGGAAGTTAAGTGCCCTCTCGTAATTTTGCAGGACTAAAGGAGGTGCTGGACCATCAGTGGTGTACCTGTACAATTCAACCTTAACTAATGAGTGCATTACAAAATTTGAGGGGGTTAAACTATTAAACCATTATAGACTATTGACATGAAAGTGAAACTAATATATTTCAGATAAAACCTTTAAAGCATTATCAATCTTACGTGCTTAAATTTGGTGAACCCGAAGAAAGACACAAGCAAATTAATACAAAAAAATAAATTTTTATATTAACAAGTGCAACAATCAAAATTTTCTCTTCACCAATACAATCAATAAAAAAATCATGAATTATAAACTTTACTGGAAGCAAATGTACCATTTAGGGCACAATGTCCCCATTATTCTCCTGCAGTTGTTTGAAGGAAAGGAGAAACTATTACTATAATTTCTTTGGTAACCTCTGGGTCTTCTTAGGCCAATTCCCTTGATTTTCAAATATAATTCCGGCCATTTTCTCCCTTTGAGCTATGGAGGGTAACGAACTAGTGGGGCTACATTTTGGAAATAAGGGATCCCACTTTGGCAAGATTGGGATTTATCCTTGCTATCTACTTCCAACAAGATGTACCATCAATGAGGCTTTAGGCAGCAGATTCATTCCATGTTACCGATAATAAATAAAGGGACAAACATTTTAAACCAGTGGCAAGAATATCTAAATCTATAAGAGAATCTTTCCATCTTTCCTCTGAGTCAAGGATGAGGGCCAAATATAAATACAAATACAGTATCACTTGATATACATACCTGCAGTTTCTATGCCTCCTTGGAAACCTCGGCATTTAGATGTTTAACAACTATAAAACCGGTAATAAGATGCCTCCCTGAATCAAGATTAGTATTCATAGGTGACAAATGGGGTTAAAAAAATATCTACTTTCCCAACTAGTGTAATGTTAATATAAGACTGGGAAATTAAACCTATTCTGGAGTAATTAATACGAATACTGAAATCTGCAAATACTTGGTAAATTCTCATACTTTGCTGATCAGATGCTATCTAAAAGATGTTTACACAAATAAAACAAGCAACACCTGTGATTAGTTGTATGAATTATTTAACTGCTTCATACTCTTGCTACATCACTACTCTACACTACATTATATAAAAACTGGTAATGTACAAATATTATGATGATCTTTATAATAAAATAATTTATAAATTTGGCGAACTTATTCAAAGCGGATGATGATACCTTAGTCTGCGTTGTTGCCACTTATGCCGGATCTCACGGGTGACGAGTCGTGTCAAGAGCTGGAAAAGGTTATCATTTAGTGTAAAGCATACCTGTAGATTTAAAAAAAAAAGGATGATCTACAATATATTTCTAAGGCCTGCAAAGTTAATGTGAGGATCCCCCAATTGTCTTTTCTGGGTAAAAACTAGTGTTTCTTCACCTGTTCCACTTGAAATCCAGTGGCCACAAATTAATTTCACATCCAATTTCTAGTTTCTTTGAATAATAGGGCAGAAAGCATAAGGCAGAACTCAAATTCTCTCTCAACATTTTAATGCATGTTTCTTCAGACTGATCCTTGAATCTTCAATTAAGTATATTTTAGCTCTTCTGATATAGCCTTAGTAATTTAAATTCTCTTGATAACAATAAACTCACCAGACTCTCATCATCAATGTTTTATGGCCATTTTCCACATTTGCATGGATTAGCCAGATTACCTGATAGCAGCTGTTTGGTAAAACCGGAATGGGATGTCCCCCCCTTCCCTCCCCCCCGCCTTGCTCACCTCCACAAACCCAGGGTACCAGCTCAGAAAATGCAGCAGAGGCCAGGGGATGGCCACAGCTCTGATGACCCAGTTGCTATCAGGTTTGCTAAAGCAAAGTTTTACAGCTGGATGCCCTTCCTAATACCAACCCACAGGATGGTAGACTATGCCTACCCTACTACACTTTTTAATCACTTGAACATTAGTCAATTCAATAAGCTGACTCATGTGTCACACTTCTCTCCACAGGCTAAAACCACCCTTAATATGCCTTATCTTTTACTACTAATACTTACAATGAGAGCAAGCACATCAGCTGCCATAAGCATGTAGAAGACATAGTTCCAATCGAGCTCTGATATCCGTCCAGCGATCAGAGGTCCCAGGGCTGCACCTGCATACACACACAAATGAAAAAAATCTGATTAACTGGATATTCAGGATGTAGTGTACATAATCTCTTACACATACAGGATAAAATGACTGCCCGGTACCAAGAATTGTGGTCATGTTAACTTTTATATATCATTGCAAATACATTATGTTCTTTCACTGAAGAGAATTAATTGACTCATAAAAATGCAATAAAAAGAAGCATACCACATAAAGGACAGCACTAAATTTACTTTTGCCTGAATGTTATTGTGTGCACCTATGGACAGGTAATGAGATGTAGAAGAGAAAGAGAACTACAGGTATCAACTTCTATTATCATTTCTCCCATTATATAAGTGGAGGTACAGTGCTATGGGAAAGAGCAACTTCCAGTCCCAGTCAGGATGGAAATACTTAAGAGGAGTTAGTTAAGTCTAGAAAAAAATTTATATGCTGAAACATGAAGCAGGAACACCACAAAATAAAAGGCAAGAAAAATGGAGATACCTATCATAAAAATACGTAATATAACTGACAAAGTGGGACTCAATATCAATGGCAAACTTAGGAATTTGAAAATGGGGTGGGGCAAGATTTTACTTTCATCTTTGGACGTAAGGAACATGTGAACATTAGCTTTTCCCTACAATTCACAATTACACAGCAACACGGGCTGGTGAGTAACAAGTTGGGCAGATAGTGTCTGCAAATGTTCTGCAATACAATGTAAGGGGGGACCCACATGGTTCCCTACTTGCCATGCTACTGTATAATACAATACTGCACACACGGCAGTTACTTAAAGATTATTACAGAGTGAACCTACATGTAATTATGGGTAAAGGTAATTCCAGATGCAAGTCCTGTCTGTCACATTGTTACTCTACCTAAACATTCATAATGTATTGGATATTCATGCCCTTTATAATAAATGTAGAGAATATAACAAAACAGTCATTAATGCTGACAAACTTAAGTGTAACAGATGAAACAAAATTGGAAATCTTAACCAAGAATAGTCATTTAAACCCAAAGAATTAAGAGAACCTACTAGAAGATAAATAGCTTCTTAAACCAAACTCCAAGACAATGCCAATGCCAACACCCAACAAATGACTGCCAGATACTTGCAGTATTAATGTAGCCAAGATTCCCAAAGCCCACAACATACATTAGAAGTTGGACACAACAAAATGTATAAATAAAAGCATTGGCAATGCTAATTTTAAACACCAAACTTATGAACTATGTGAAAAGGTGTAATGTGACTGTTTACACAAGAAATACTGTACCATCAACGGAATGACTGATCCTTTAACCTACACCGGGAACAGCAGGATTGTTCTTTTTGTGGTGAGCAGGGAGAGGTTATATCAATAGATCTCGCATGCAAATCTTTTCATTCAAAGGGGGGGGGGTGATTATAAGATTAAGATAGTTTTTATATGAACCCTCTGTTTAATACGAAAATTAATGAGCTAGACATAGAAGAGCTTTAGTAAAACAATGAGTACAGTAATAGGTATTACTAATTACATATACAAAAGTAGCTTAAGTGCTTAAGTAAAATAAAGATGTCCATGTTAAGTTTTATGTAATATACAGTAGTACAGTACTTACTAGCAAATTCTACAAGAATACACAGCAAAACAGATTAGGAAGACTCTGTAAGTGCAAGAGTACCAAACCTTCAACCACACTCAGCAGTAATGCATTATTCCCTTATTAGTCTACAACACAGCAAGCTTTACCGAGCATTTGTATATTTAATCGTCACCTAGGGAGCCAGTGCCATCAATAATAGCAGTAACTGTGGCAAGGGCTTTGGAATTGCCTTGGAGACTCTCATGAGTGCCAAGATCAGCAGACACGGCCGTTGTGATCAAGGCATATGGACCATTTACCAAAAGTCCAACAAGCATCAGCATGGCAACGTTCAGTCCCAAACTTGCAGAACTTAGTAACTGGTATATATACAGCTGTTGAATAAATTACAATCAATACATGAGTACACATTAAATTCAAAGGTACTTTACATAAACATGCATTTCATTTGGTGCTGTTTGCTATGGACCTGAAAAATAATTTTTTTTATAAATTATGAAGGAAAAGATTTACCTTATAATAAAACTCACCAATGTTGGTGGATTAAAATTAAAACAGTTATTAATCTTTTTAAACTAACTTAGTCCCGATAAATCTTATCCTTCATTCATTAATATAGTACTGTACATTACAGTGGTAAATAAATGACTACCTATGGATCCAGTGCCATCTATTATGGCAGTGACTGTGGCAAGTGCCTTGGCACTGCCTGCAAGGATTGGGTGTGTTCCTAGATCTGCCGAGACAGCAGTAGTGATGAGGGAATATGGGCCGTTAACTATTGTGCCCACAAGAAGCAGCAGTCCCACGTCAACCATATATGAAGCATGCTGAACGTGACGATATATGTACATCTGGCAGGGAAAATTGTTAAAATATAGCAAGGAAAAAATGGTGCTTACATAATTCAAGTGTTACCCTAGTATGCAGGGTATTAGTTTGGTCCATTTAATACTCAAAAAATCAAACCACAGCATATATTTTTCAAGAGGATGAAGGAACTCTATCCTGGGTGAAATTTTAAGTGTATAATATTCACTGAAGAACATTGGTTTATTCAACATACACACAAAGTTCAATTGTAGTGGGTTGAATCTATAGCTATTCTACAGCAGTAGTGATCTTGGTAATGGTAGTTCTCGACTTATAATGTAGTACAGTAGACCCTTGCCATTCGTGGGTTTGTGATTCGCGATTTCGACAAGTTGCAGTAAGTAGATGGTAGCTAGCTTGCGAGCCTTTTCCCACAGCACAATAAGTCACCCTACACAGGATCTCGTGTTGTACTCTCAAAACTTTAGTGTTTCTGTGTGAAATGGCCCCTAAAAGACTGCCTAGTGTTAGTGCTAGTGATGCTAGTGGAGTGAAATGTAAAAGGCAGAAGTCAGTGATGACCCTGACAAAGAAAGATGAATTATAAGATAAGTTAAAAGAGGGGATGAGTGCTGCCGTGGCTGGTCAGTTGTTTGGTATAGGTATACAGTAGTGCACTACGGTAGTATAAGTTGTTATTTGCGGTTTTGCCTATTCACGCCATTCCTTGGAACCTAACCTCCGTGAATAACAATGGTATACTGTATGTTTACAAGTAGCAATATACTGAATAATAAATATTAATGCTATCTAGCCTAACTTCCGCTACCAATATGTACAGCCAAAGAAAAAAATCGTGTTTATGAACTCATTGCACCTTGTGTTCTGAAACCCATGAAGAAGAATTCTTGCGGTTCAGATTCGAACCACAAATCTTCACTGTAACTGAAGGGGAATTTTAACCACAGTTTGCATCACAGGTTTGGAACATAATACTAGGTGGGTATTACATGACTTTATTTCTTTGACTGTACAAGCTGTCAATGGGAGGAAGCCACTGAACACAGTAACACTGTTAGGTGGTCTACCTAACATGTTTAACCGATGTTTGTGTGATGTAAAACCCGAAGGCCTCATGCATTAAACACCGAGATGAGAAATGTTTGAAGTGATAATGAAAAAAATTGGAAATAGCAGTTTGTATGACTCCCTGATACTGTACTGGAGACCACTCATTGCAGCGGCAATGTATATGAATTAACAAAAGCTGAAGAAAAATAAATTCAAGAATGATGGCCTTTACAAGAAAGTGCCACTCAGACAAATGTTTATCCTTATTCCAGGGATTACCATAAACAGTTAATTTATGATACTGCAATTAAAACTATTTTATTTAACTACACAAATATTTCCAAACTGATGCCACTTTTGAGAAAAGCAAATAGTATAAATGAAAACTTTAGATTATCTGACTATTCACCAATATTTATAAACAAATCACATAAGAGCAACATGAATAATAACCAAGGCAGACTAAACAATTACCATTGGAACGGCAACGATGAGCATGACAGAACACGTAGTAGCTGACATGCCCGAATGATCACTGATGATGCCGGCCAAGATACCGCCAATTATCCCTCCCACGTCAAAGAAGGTGGACAAGTTGGCACTCTGCTCTGCAGTATATGGAGCTGAGGATGTGTAGGGAAAGGAACAATACTGAATTACAATGCCTTAGTAGTGAGAATTATGATGATCCTTTGTAACTTTTACAAAGTTAGTTACTCAGCTGTTGTAAAGTTTCTTTAATACAATAAGCCAAATATTATTATCATTCCTCTTTCCAAATATCTGAATTATTCCTACAATACTGAGTCTCAGGTGTTCATTCTAATTTCTAATAATGACCACAATTTAAGGATTAAAGACTAACTTTAACACCAAATACCATGTTACAATGTTTACTGTACTGTCATCACCTGGAAATCTAGAATATCTTTGGAATTTAAGTTTTATTGATTTTTAACTTTTAAAAGTCTTGTTGAAAATGTAAGTTTCCATTTCTTTTGATTTACCGTTAAGTTCAATTTAGAAACTTGACATTCAAGTCACGAATCCTTGAGAATACGTACTGCTGTTTAGGATGTAGTTCGGTAGCCAGTACAGGAATGTGTAGGACACCAGTTTGGCAAAGAAGAGACACAGGGAAAACTCCACTACACCCTTGGATCAAGATAAACATATAAAAAAGTTAGTCAAAGTGAAATCTATTCAACCAAATATTCAGCGTGTAACGTGGATCGTGCCCACAGCTGAAAATTTGCTTAGTAATTTTTGTACAAACTATAGAATCATGGAAAAAAGTCCTGTTAGTCCTCAATCCCATTCATGAATCCTGAGACTTATGAACCAGTGAATCCAAAACATCACACTGTGCACCATCTACTGGCCCAATACTATGTGATGAATCAGGCTGGCAGGCTCATGAGTCTTAGGGTTCAAAGATGAGATGGAGGATTTACAGGACATTTTTCTGTGATTGCACATGTGTTGGGTATCCTGTGCTTAATATTATCTAAAATGAACAAGATTAATCAGTATACATTGTACCCTCATTATTCGGATTGTTATACTGTAATTCGTATTTTGGCTTAATCCAAAAGTTTTTGAAAAACAAATTAAACAATTTGATATTGGATGATTCCGTAATAACCGAGAGGTTCTGAAAAGTCACTCTCGTGGCTCCCCAAGCAGGTATCAGGTATCATCCCACTTGGGACGACTTCCAATTTCAATTGTTGTTGTTCTTAATAATTAAATGTTATTCATTTGTACTGTATTCAAATACTTCATGTTATGCTTGTATTTGTATTCATGAAAAAATAAACTCTTTGTAGACCATGTCAGCAAGTCTGGTTGACAAGCTTAATACAGTAGTCACATGTCCTGTGGTCAGGTCACTTGATGTCAGGTGTCATCATAATAGAGTCAAGGCTACAACAGGTGGAAATAGTGAGGTTATTTAGTTAGGTCATGCTGTATTTTGTTATTCCAAATATAATTCATAATACAGTATACTGTATTCCTATAATACACAGTATTTTTAATAGAATTTGTCATGTATGGATGATTTTTAGCTATAAGTGTCCATGTGGGAATCATCTTTATGGGAATTATCCAAGTGGGAAGAACTCATCTATCTGGGAATTGTTTTAGTGGCATGTAATCTTGGGTCATGCTGCTATCATGTGAGAGTGGTTCACCAGCACAGGCGGAGGGTATGCGGCACTGACAGCTCTTCAGTTGAGATACAGTACTTAGCTCCTCAAAGAAGGGGAGATTTGTTGGATAATGTCATTAATTGAGTTGATGGAAATATAAATCTGAAAGATTTTGCAAGATTTTGAGTAAGTATAGTTAAAGTAATTTGTAATAAAACTGTACGTAAACTATTATTGCATCATGGATGCCTGTATGTCTGTTTACTACCTGTGTGGCATGTGTGATAAACTCTAGTCTTCCGCCTGGATTTATATACTGTACATTAGTATTAATTTTAGTGTAATGTCGTTGAAGAATATTGTTTCTGTCAACATTAAAGGATTAGAAATTAAATTTCAATTATTTTTAAAATAGAAATTAGAAATTCAAATATAAGACAATGGTTTAGTAGTGCTGTTAATGAGTGTGCTGTGGAAGTGCCTTGTTATGTCACCTCCTGTCTCATCACCTCACCTGTTGCTTCGTCACCTTACCCCTCGCCAGCACACACTGCAGTGTTTTACATTTTTTATTTATTACTGCATTATTTACCTTATTATTACTGTGCATTTAAAAAAATATTTATATTTGCACAGTCATTATAAATAGAATATTTTATGTGGCAGTCAAGGCAAGGTACCTGAGTATGTTTGTAGGTTGGAATAACGAGGCACAATCTTCAGAACGATCCAAATAAGGTGCAAAAACTGAACAGAATGTGATGAATAAAAAAAAAAAATTGGAAAAAGTGAAATAATGTCAAAACATTCTGAACTTGGTTACTTCTGACAGCACTTAACTTGAAAAATTAAAGAACAAAATATAAAATTAATAAATTCTACTCTAAAAAGCAAAGTAATATTTGATATAAGTTGTTATGGTACTAGAACACAAGTCAGGATAAAAAACTCACTGGGATAGATAAAGCTCCAAAGAAACTGATGGCCTTGTCTTCTTTCTGATTGGGGACATTTTGTTCAGACTCCATTTTCTTATCTTTCTCAATGTATGATACTGTTGGTGTATCCTAGAAGGCAAAAAATTCAAGGTTTATTTAATAAATAACATTGTACAAATACTGTATTGCCTACCAAGACAGATCACTCAATAGTGTCCATTACAACAAAATCTGGCATTAACATAATTTGTCTTCTTTTATTGTGCTGCATGTACAAAACTGTTGTATCTACTGTACTGTAAACATCAATTAACAACAAATAATGAAATTCTGGTAATTCAGATATTAAAAGGTTGGTATTAGAATTACTATATCAAGAATTGAAGTTGAAACTTCTAATTAGTATACACCCTGTACTGTACAGTACAGCATTGTATTGAATTACTGTATTTAGATAGGATTGATTACTACACTTTATCATAAATATATGATAGAATAAAGAAAGAGAGAGAAATTCAAAGCACATACTTATCCACCTGAAGGAAAATTGAAGGATTGAGTCTGTAAATTCCGTTTTATGACCAAGACTGGACCAGGTAATTTGCAAGTTATATAGGACTAAGTCATCAGGGTTAACATCCAGGTAAACTCAACGATAATATGTTGCATTTGGGACTGACCCATTGATTAGTTAGCTGCCTTCCCTTCCTAACTAACGAATCTTCAAGTCACTCACATTATAATTTTATTACTATGCTTCAACAACTACGTTCTTGCATAACAATGTTAGTACTGTAATTACAGTCGTCTATCAACAATTAAAAAATTATAAGGGGCATAGAACTCTCTTTTTAAAAAACAAGTCATCATATGGGGTCATGATGTCATGTCAACCAGTGCACATAGCACCACTGCTTGGCTTGGCTACAAGCTGTCATTAGAGGCTTCAAACTAATTTTATTTACACTGGAAGGAGAGCGTAACATAGTTGCTGGGTCCTAAATGAGGGATAGATAGGAATTTTTTTAATATTGGAGCCCACAGCCAGATAATTATCAAGATATGGGCTACATACTTCTAGCTTAAATGGTGAAAATTGTTCCTAAAAGATATCCTTTCAGGGATTTAGTTATGACTGGAAGTTGTTACTAATTAATGAATTATTCCCAGCTGCTAATACTGTGAGGTTTACCCAGGTTATCAACCCCATAGACTTTACGCTACAATATGTACACAAGTTATCTGAGATGAGTGTTTGGCCAAAAAACATACTCGTGATGCTTTTGTCAAATTATATTACAAGTTGTTACCTAGAAATGCAGAATGGTACAAGATTATTATATTCCAGTCAGAACTTCCATAAAACACAAGAAAAAGGAAATATGTTCTAAATATATAGGCAATTTAGGATGGCTAACTGCACTAGAAAACCCATCACCTAATTCCACATGCAAAATAAACTCTAGAAATAATATTATAAATCCACAATGAGCTACACGTGCAACAGAAAGAAAGAACACATTGGTATTGAAGTCATACACTGGCAGATGAGTGGGACTATTCTGGGAATCCATCCTATAACTGAGCAAGTGAGGACAGCCAAAGTTTCCAGGCTCGGCCCAGGGAACCTTAAACTAAGGTGGTTGAGATATAAAACCCACATATTAGTCTACTCCCCCACAGCTCTGGAAATGGTGTTTGAAGCCAAGTAGCTGTGCCATGTAAACCACCCCTATGGATATGATGTGATAAGAATCTGGCCATCTTACCTCAGGGCTCCTTGGACAGGTCATGTGAAACTGGCATCAGGTCGTAAATTCCTCTAGCTAAACACATAAACCCAATGGATTTTTATTCTTATACACCCCATACACCAGAAAATTAATTAGATTTCATATAAACCTTACAGAAACAATTATATTCTTATAAACCTGATACAAAAGATGAATTAACCATAAAAGCCCTACTGAGGACAAATAATTATATGTACTGTATATCCACATACAGCCTAGAGGACCCTGGTACAGTACCCATATTGTTAAACCATACTAAAGAGATTCATTAAAATTCATCCAAAAACCTATGGAAAAAAATTATCACATCCACCCATATAATATCTATAGCAAGAGTTGAAGGTTATTAATATGAGAGTACAATACAGTACAAGGTTACAGTATGTACAGGTATGTCTATAGTTTATTTAATTTTCTGTCTCCATCAATAGAATGTTACTATCAATCTATACATCCATTTCCTTATTACCTTCTCTTATGTGATATTACTGTAAACTCACAAGGCAGCCTGTGATTTAGAGGGTGTTATTCTCACCTTTGCCATTAAGTAAAACAAGAAACCATGCTTTAACGCAGGATGGACAGAATCAAAAGCAAACACACACATGGTATTATCTCTTCATTAAATCACTGGATAGGAGGAAATGCACAAAAATATTACTTCTTTACATCAACACATATTACTCTGCAATCTGATGCACCCTTGGCAACTCACTTAAATCATTCACACCAGTTTACCAATCCAGTGACCACCTGCAACCACCCCTTCTAACTCTCCTATCCACTAATACCCCACTTTAGATACTTATGCTCGCCGATGTCTCCTGTATCTCTGGCTCTCACACACACACATTACAATCTCACAGATATTCCACAACCGCCTCTCTACTCTTCTTACACCCTTACCATACACTAAACAGTATTTGAGTAATACGGTACCTATGAAATTATATTCAAATTATATTTTTCCTCTACATCTAATAATAATAATAATAATAAAAAGGAAGTTCAAAATACAGGCCAAACATGCATCATCGTAGTAAACATCAAGCAAGACCAACAAGAAATACTTACTTCGTCCAAAAGGGCCGTAGACTCATCATCATCATCATCCGGTGCCACTGAAACATCTGCCATGTCTCTCCTCCTTGGTGGGGGAGAGACGCCCTCAGGCTAACAGGTAACCAGCAACAATGGAAGCATCAAGTTAACACCATTTCGCCCTTAAGTGCTACACACATTAGCCACTCAGCTTCAAGTTCTAAAGTGCTGTTCTGTACTTCACACATTTTGTTGTTTTTATAACCCGACATAAGGGAAATCAAAGAGAAGTTACAAAATTGTAGTCACCCACAAAAGTCCTGTCGCCTCTCCTACTGATCCATGAGCCCCGAGACTCAGACTCATGAACCTGAAGCAGAAGACACTGATGCATTACTCTGTCCATAAATGCTTCAGATTCACAAGTCTGAATCTTGGGGTTTGTGGTGCAGGAGGATAGGCACCAGGACTATTGTGGGTGACTGTACAATAGTTTGTAAATAGATTTAAAACCGAGATGACAAACTCCAATAAAAATTTAAAACAATGTGCTGAGTACACTGCTAATGCCTGATGAAATTATTAAACAGTCCATCACTAGTTCCTACAGAGTGATGATGTCCCTTCTCTTTTATTTACCTTAATTACAGACAAATGACATAACACAAGAGGGAAGAGAGAACACACACACACACACATAACACTGCAGATCCTCAATGTCTGACATAAACATATTCCATGATATTAAATTAGTAAATAGATGATCAGATATTAATAGGAAGAAACAATCAGATATTAATAGGAATAATTCACCAAAATCAAATACTCTATAGCAGGGGTTCTCAACCAGGGGGGAATTTCCCCCCTCAGGTTTTCAGGCTGATACTAATATGGAAAAAATAAAGGATTTTCAGTATTATATGCATATTATTTGGAATGCACTTTTTGAGGCAGACAATCTTGGAAAGGAGGGGGAATGACATTCTGACATATGGTGAAAGGGGTGCATGGGGCAAACAAGGTTGAGAACCACTGCTCTATAGCCATTAAATGTCCAATATATATACACAATAAATACTGTACAGCCACTATGATGAACAACATGGTTAGGAATGGTGGTAGAAAACTATTGGAAGATGTTAGGGAAGTTAACTAGATGTACAGCACTGCATTAATACAGATGGATGAAGAAATCTGGGTCACACAACATTAAACAGAACAGTATGGTGTAACCTCATTAGTTTAGACATGAAGCACCTTGACGTTACAGGGTCATGGGGAAGGGATACATTACACACAAGGTACAGTAATCCTAGATAACACCTGTAGACTATAAAACAATTTAGATATTAGATGGCAAAAAGTGCCAAACGAAATTATGCTTATCATGTTTTTTGTTTGTTTTTATCCTCTTCACCACTGATCGGTTTGTTAGCCGCTTGGGCGATCGGTCACGTCTCTGGCCTCTCGGTTTCTTCTCAAGAAAATAGTAAAATGTTGTTCTAATAAGCTGTTCTGCTTTTAACAATGAAGTCAATTATGATAAATGACAATGTTTAAATCCTTATTCTCTGTAATCTGAATTCTAGGTTATTTTCAATGTTTGGTGATTCAGAAAATGTAAAATTTATACCCATTAATTCTTCAGCAATCAGAAAATGTAATCTTTATACCCATCTATTCTTGAGTATGGTCAATAAAACACATGACAATTACTGTATATATGAAGTGTTTCTAGGTAACAAATTATCTAGGGATTACTGGAGCATCAAGGAATCAGACCAAGGGAAATACCACAAGGTGGCATAGCAATGTTTGGTGAGAGAAACTAACAGGTGCTCTTAAAGTGGTAACTCTAGCAAGGGAAGTTAAAATGAACAGAGGCATTGTACAAAGATAGATAGATCCCGGGTTAAACTTACACACTGGTATAAAAATCAGGGATAAACTTGCATATAGAGAGCTTGATAGATAGATCAACTGACAGACAGGTAGACAGAGTTCACACTAAAGTTGCAAAAAGGTAGATGAATAAAACTTTTAGGCTAAATTTCCATATACAGTAGGTACAGAGATTCTAGATAAAAAAAACAAATTTAAATTTGCATATACAGTACTGTAGACAGATAGATTATGGCAGATTTCTGGTTATACTTGGAAAGATAGATAGATAGATTTCAGACTGAACTTGCACATAGACTGGTAATCAAAACATCAATATGAAAGGGGTCAATCATGCCACCCATTCTCAGTGATACAATTTACAGTTTTTGGTGCTTTCGGCACAATCTTTTAATCTTACCATGCGAGACAATGAGGTTCTGCAGCGTATCCCCAAAAGCTACAAGTACAACTCCCAATGCACTCATTTATATGTACTGTACAAGTACATGAAAATTTTTTTTTTATTCTTATCCCATACATGAAACAGACATATGTTAAAATTTATCTCAATTTTCAATAGATACAGACAAGCCTATGAGATAATGGTCACGTAGGGTGAAGTGAGCCTCCAACCTGTTAGGAACGATGCCCATTTTGATGATTAGGTTGGGGTTTACCAGCAGGCACCTAAGTTACCTTGCTCTGGCACAGTAGTTAAGTTCTCAATCTTGCTAACAGTTAACTGCCAAATAATCGTCTGAGGTCCACCATCAGAGATAAATAATAAAAAATGTTAAGACAGAGTTAATAATATGTCATCTTTAAAACTGTTCCCAGATCATACACAAATCTGAAAGGTGGTGTAGTGATTCAAAGTGAGGGAAAGTATTCACCATGTATACTGTGTATGTAAGTTAAGGATATGGAGAGAATAAGAGAGAGAGAGAGAGAGGAGAGTTCAAGCATGCATGTGTGGAAAACTTAGCCCATTCCTATCACTCTCTACACCTTTTCTACAATATCCTCCCATGCTATTTCTCCCACTTCTTTGGGGGTTTCTGTATCCCTTAGTACAACACACAAAGTGGATGTGGTGTAAGGATTATAGGCCACAAAGGAAGTATTTCTCCACTTGGCAAACACAAGGATGTGATCATAACTCAGTCTGCAGCTATAGTGATCTGTAGCTAGTTAGTGCTCCTAAATGTACATTGCCATCACAAGGTATTCATTTGATATATTCTGCCACACATACAAGGATATTTAGCATAACTTAACATTTAGTTATCGTGTCTCTGGCCCCATCACTGGATCATAAAATATAAAGAGGTTTATTATCATATATTCACTGATCTAATAATAGTAAGCAATGTCCATGATGCACATGTAAACTCTTGTGATGTGACCATATAGAGCTCTTAGCTCTAAACCTTGTGAAGCCTTGAGAGATTATTTTCAATAGAGATAAAACTACAAACTTGAATGTATGGATGAGATTAGTATAGTATTGTATATAGAACGGTTCATATGACAGTTATGCATACTGGAGAGTCAAAGACATGTTTGTTCAGTTCATGAGGATGGAGTGCCAAATAGCATTTGTAATTTTCAATCATTTTTCTTTCTGAAGGAGGTAGTGTGGAGTCACAAGGGCAGAGATACAAAACAAGAGGATAAGTAGTGTCTCTCTGTCTGTCTGTCTGTCTATCTATCAGTTAAGAATGTGGTACTATATTGCCTATTGTCTGGTTATGAATGGGGTTCAGTACTGCCCATCTACTGGTCAAGAATGAAGGAAGAGTATCACCCATCTATTTACCTACTTGTATCGTCTTGCCTGTTCCCTAATTTAAAAGGACATCAATGGATGACTTCCCCCCAAAAACATCATAACATGAGCGGCTTTCCAGGTATGAAATAATTTGGTCTTGGGAGCTACTAATATACCACTGAAACATGAACAAATTCAACAAAACTTGATTATTCTAATGTTTTATAACATCAGGAAAATACTAATCATATATGTGGATAGATGCAAGTTTTACTGCTTTTAAACATGACTGGGATATCTCTGTGAGGTGCTCAGTGGACTGACCTACTCTGAATCTGCTGGAGTGTTTGTCTTAATGTTAATGCTTGAGGCAGCTGACACAGACAAGGAATAAATCTACCCAAATTTTAAAGGTCATATAAAGTAAAAAACAAGACTGTAAGCCTAAAAGCTGAGTAAGATGGTCCAAAGTCAACATCAGAAGCTCATGTAAATAAAGGATCTCCAAGACTCCTCTTAATTACTGATATGCAACAGAAAATCTAAATAACCTGATGCTTGTAAAAGTTTTTTGATAAGACTCCAAACATGTTTTCTAATAATAAAGGGTTAGGTTAGTTTGGGTAGGGTAGGTTTGACTAGATTGGGACAAGTTATGTTAGAGAAAATTCTACAATACTGTATTTCATAATCAGAAGATGCATAACTGAGCCACCACTCGAGATCATCAGTTTATGAATCTCTTCACTGATGCCGCTGTATCTATTGAAACTTACGATGTATTTAACATATTTAAATCTAATCTACATCAACGCCCCATGAAGGTCCCACAAAACTCCTATGGTGACAACCCCTTCTTCAAACCTCAAACCTACTAAGACGGTCTCTGACATGCAACTTACGTCTTTCTGGGTGTTGGGGTTAGGAAGGCCAACCATCTGAGGCTCAGGAACCATGAAGAAGAGAACCACAACTCCTACTGATGCGATGATTATGCCGGGGATGATGAACGACAGGGCCCAGTTTGTACCAACGAATGCAGCAGCAATCAGGGTGCCGAGAATGTTACCCACTGAGGTATGGGAGTTCCAAATGCCAAAGATCAAACCTGAGACGTAGAGAAAATGTGTTATTCTTGTAACTCACATCCACCTTGCTCTCTATGGCAGTCTTTTTTTTTTACACACACTACCATAATCTAATTCATTCCTCTATACAAAAAGGGCTGAATTTTCCTGTAATTCCCAACCAAAATAGGTGAATAAACTAATTACCTGAATGTATATAGTTCAACCTCAGTTCATGTTAGGATAAAAGTAACATGAAACCTGCCTTCCTTGAGCTTCATTTTACTGTACTGTATTTACTCTACAAAATTGATTTCTGACTCGGACGTCACATCGCCAAGTCTACCGAGATGATTCCTTACTAAGACCTGTATTTCCATTTGCTCTATCTCATGAAATAACTCTGTCAATTCTGTGTTATAGTCCACCTAGATACAATACACTAAGACCTTAATAACTTATCACTGGGTAAATTCAGGTTGTGTCAATGTAAATTTATAAATTACCTGTACAGTATTTCCCTCGGACCTTCACCATCAAAAATTCATCTTATACATTCCATGTTTCCATACCATGTAAGATGTATTTTATTCATGCAATATTATCCCTGGCTTCATGCAATGATCTTGTCCTCATACCAATCATTCTTTAGCCACTTGTGTACGGGCTCTCGTGCTGAATAAAATCATCTGTCATTAGCCAAATAAAATATAAAAAGTGGCATCCCCATAGTGAAGAGGTTAAACATCCTGTGTCCACGTCATGTGAACTTATTCTCATTTATGCATTTCTACTGATTTCTTCACTGGACACATTGATTTCACATCTTCATTCATCAAATAAATACAGCATGTTATTTTTACCTCTCTTTCCTTTTCCAAACCAGTTTCCCAGGGCAGTCACAACACCGGGCCATCCTGTGGTTTGCATTAGTCCGCATAAGACCTATAAAGCAATACAAATGAGATTTTAATTTCTATCTAGTTATTCCAATTTCACTTTCAATTACAAGGGATGAAACGGACACACAAAGGCTCAAAAGCAGCAAATACATAAATAAATTTAAAATCTCAATACTGTATGTGTCAAATAATATTTCTTTACCCTTTCAATATACTGTACACATAATCAAAAAAGCAACTTTGCAATTTTGTGTTAGACAATCTGACAACGGGTGTAAGATTTCAACAACCCTACGAAGACAACAGAAATCACAGTGTTCATTTTTAAATTCTTTAGACCCGTCTATACAGATACTGTACAAAACTTTTTTTATTGTGTGGACATACTAAATAAAAACAAATGAAACAGAAACTGAGATTCACCTGAGCTGTGATGTAGAACCACAAGCTGTGTATACCAAATGAGTAGCCAAGACCAAACATGCCACAAAACACACCCGATAGTATCATGCCAAATGACAGGAAGAGGCGCAGGTCAACTCTCTCTGCCACAAGCCCACTGTGAATCAACAAATGATATGATATTTTTTAAAAAATTCCAATGTTTCATTTGAAAAATCTGTTCATATATTTGAGGTACGTATTGCTAAAGGAACATAACAATCACTGTAATTTTTCTCCCTTCCAATGTTTTGCCCCCATTTTTTTTGACACGTCTTTCTGAAACATCTGTTGAAAACATTTGTCTTGACTTTGAAATCTGTGAGAGATAATTATGAAGTACACCACAAGGGATAATTACATCTGTACTTTATACATATCGTACAACTCTACTGGTACTGATACACTACACTATATTATGTACCTGAATATGACTTCTGAATCTGTATCTTTCCCCAACAAGGCCACACATAAAATTTTTATCTCCTAACATTTTGAACTTATTGAAGTATAATGTTTTTCTCACCTGACAAACATGCCACCAGCATAGGCAAAGAGGAAAGAGGAGTCTACCATTCCCAACAGGATTCCTGAGTCTTCACCGTCTGTGAAAACGAGAACTGAACTTCAGAGAGCTGTGAAAATTAAAGGCAACCGATGGATACTCTTGATGAGGCTCAAAATACTTAACATTTTCAAACCTTAGGGCCTACCCCATTATGTCATGGTATACTGTACTGTACAGTCAAGTATATAATGATTTTATAAAAACTAATAACAAAACCTGTGTAGAGGTTGTTTAATTACTTTATTACAGGAGCAACTGGCAATACACAAGGTGGAACATAGTAAGTCACTATACTGTACATGTATGCCATTGTATGAACCACCATATCAATGCCCTGTGAGGACGAGCAGCTAACCAACTTACCAAAGGGCTTCCAGTCACACCAATGGCTATTGTTGGTTTCATATGGCGGCACCAAACCTGAGCAGTTCTGGTTCAGGACATTCTTCACGACAGATATGGGTTTGCGGGAAAGATGGTACGAGCAGTAGGTAAAGAAGGTCAGGATCCACATCCATGATGAATATCTAGGAGAGAATAAGAAAAAATGGATATATTTTAATAGCCCACATGTGGCACTACCAATCAATCCACGAGGCACAGTAGTGTCTGAGATGTCTTTCCTTAAAATATTACTCTACAATTATCAATACACTGTACTGTATTATACTGTACAATACTTTTATATGGGTTAGTGTAAAATACCTTTGACAATATGAATAGCACACTGAGCTACGTAATGATGAACGAAATATAGGGTATAAACAAAGATATGTAGTTTTACATCACATTTGGGATTTTTAAATCACAAAAGACATAAGAGAATTTCCAATGACCTCACCAGATAGTGTCTCCTATACTGTATTAGTTAAAGGCCATAAAAATACAGTAATATCCATGATATTATCCTGAGCTCAATTCTCAAATGTGTAATGATAAAACAAATAAATGAATCATTTGAGCTGACACACAAAGATGGCAGCTACAATATTATCAAAATAAAACTATTTTGACTCAACTAATTACTGTACAGTCTCATAAAAAGCAGTAATAAGAGTTGTTTAATGCATATAAACTTTACTGTATGAACCTCTGATAATCTTGTTTTTGACCGAGTCTTTACAACAAGATCAAAATTAATTGCACCTCAGGTATACTGAACATCTAATGTCACTAATCATGCATTATAACTTTGAACCTTCGTGTATTATTGAGTACAGTAACAGTATATAAACCAAACAGTTAAGCTTGATTATTCTGAAAATATTCCAAGCTGGTGTTATTCAGAAACATATTAATACTGCACAGCACAAAGCAAACATATCAAACCATAATACTGAAGTAATCAAAACTGTTGAGCCATATGTAACTTGTAACTAAGGAACAAGATTCAATGTCCACACTCCTGACACTAAATAGTTTTGTTGTCAACCATGTACAGTATCAAGCTGTAATGCTCTCTTATGCTATCACTAACTCATCTATGCACATCATCCATTACAGGATAAGAGGCTAATCCTAGGCATTTACTTTCTTAAAATGCTCCTGCAGTTTTATTAAAAAAAAATTCTTATAACCAGAAACTGTTCTTATTCCCTAAAACAAAACTTGACTTGTTTGACAAATCAATCTATACTTACAATCTATACTTCACTTTATCAAATATACACATGGTAATGCTGTGCTGTACATCAGGCAATAGCTCATGTACAGTACTGTACTCATTACCAACTACAGTATCTTCCCGTATCTCCCATATTTTATCTGGAGCCAAGGGCTTCCATGTGACCCTCAGCTTCCCCTCACACACTCCATCTCATATCTTACATAACATTTCATACCAACATTACATAAACTTTCATTTGTTAACAGGCATCAAAGAGAATAAAATAATACTTCTAACACTTCAACTTAGCATGCATAGTGAATTAATATGAAGCTAGCTTTGGCGATCCCTAGATGCTCCGGATATCACATGAGTTTATATTGTTAGTATTTAATGCTTAAGGTCAACCTTATGATAATTTTAGTGATTAATAACTTGGTGATAACACTTATAAGTGATATTGCTGATCATACAGTACTCAAATGTAACTTGATTATACTTTATCATACAAATTATATAGCTGCATATACTATACTGGCCCTGTTTTGAATGAACTGATATGTTAGGTCTTGTCTTGCACCCCCTGGAAAAAATCGTGCGGATGCCCATGCCTCGTTACAATGACATTAAAGAAACAATGATGAAGGAGGAGCAGCCCCACAGTTTATTTCTAAAACCCAAATTAAATTTTTACTCTACTTTGGTAAATTAAATGTAAATAGAGAATTCGAAAATAAACTCGGATGATGTTCTTTGTGATGCGAGGAAAAAGGGAGGAAAATACTGTACACACCACTTGTTTATGTACAAAGAAAAACAAAAACATTGAAATGCAAATAACAGACACAGTCTTGAAACTAACTGGCAGATAAATAAATACACACACATTAAATTAAAAAAATAAGATAGAATCCTACAAACAATATTCAAATGGAAATGAAACAAAGAATGTGACAAGTACAATAAGAGGAAAGGATTACAAAACGATCTTCAAACATCTTTCTTGGTTTGTCCTTGGTCTATGTATATACAGTATTCGTTGATGAACCATATGTGAACCTTTATGCCGATTTCACTAATAAATAGCTATCACTTGAATCACTATGAACTTGTCTGAAGAATTTACCGAATAACTGACTATCTAATTATCTACCTCAAGTCTGGCCTTAGTACCTGGACGGGTCTATAAAAAAAGAGTCACGTCAACACTAACACCCACCACCACGTCACAGCTACAGTAGAGGCCTAGTTCTCAACAAGCCAAAATAATACCAATCATAACAACACCAGTTCACTACATAAGATATTTTCAGAATAAAGTCAATCTGATGATAATTCAGATGGCAATTAAAGAGCTGCGTCGTGTCCTGTCAATAGTAAACAAAAAAGATTTATCACTTACAATGTTTTCTTTTTATTGGATGGAACGTTCACGCAGCAGCTTGACTCAATGGCTTGAATACTCAACGGAAGTCTTGCCATGATTACAAGTGATGTTTGAGTTGGTTAGAATTTTCGAAATTTACTCGAGATCGAGGAGCTGCACTGCTGTATTCCCACTACGGTGAACACTTGCCAACTGTCTGGTGGTGCTTGTTGATATCGGCTTAAACATCCCTCCCACCATTAGATGCCGTGAGTCGCTACCTCGCTTAGTATATTGATTTATTGTCACCTACTAAGCTCATTGTAATATCGTTTTGACACCACGAATTCACTGTTCTACTAATAAAACACGAGTAAATATTAATTAAAAGCGAAGAACGAAGTAAGAACGTAAGTTAAAAATAAAAATATGAATGGTAGTCCCAGCAAGGTATATCAAGTGGAAATCTAGTCCACAAGGTGAGAAATACTGATATATATTTTTTCTGCAATTTTTGACACATTGAAGGCCATTTTTCACCCTTGATGATTGATAACTACCAGAATCAATGACATTATACTCGTACATGCTGATTTAATTCGAGTCTGCTCATAATAGGTAACCCAGGTTCAGAAGAGATTCACATGATCTGCGTTATTTGCACGACAGTAAATTACAGTTTTTTAGACTAGTGCAATAACTCGTGAAATAAAAACAAAAATATTAAACAAAAATTAAAAAAACAAACACCAAATAACACAGAACAACACACGAAGAACGGTATATGAATCATAAAACACTAAGCATCCCATGACCACAACAGCTGCTAAATAATAATAATAATAATAACAACAACAACAGCGGTACACGTGCAGCACGGTTTCCCCCTACTAGTGTGTCTCGGGTTCGATCCCCTTATCAGAGGTGAGAAGGGTAGTATAGTAATGTGACCTACCAAACATGGACAGTTTTCTCGGGTACAGATGCACTAACACTGGATCTATTAAAGATCATAACTCATCACGTGCTATTGAGGGATTAAAGAAACTACTTCCTTCCTCTGTCGGGTAAATTCGATATTAAATTAAAACATCAGAAAATTTACGAGAACAGGAGAAAACTACAAAAACTATATAAACAAAAAATAAAATAACTATACAAATATGGAAGGACCAGATCACAATGGCAACGGGGAGACAAGGAAACAAACTACAGCATTTATAATATAACTTACACACAGTACAGCACTGCAGGATAATTGAAGGGTTCCTACACCCCACAGACAAGGTGTATGGGATCTCCCTCTCTCGATTATTTCACCTTAAAATATTAACCAACTTAATGCTACCTGGTGGGGGGGGAGCTAAGATTATGTTAGTTTAGGTTAGATTATGTTAAGTTGCTAGATTAAGTTGGGTTATGTAAGGTTAGCTTGTTAGATTATTTTAGCTTATGCTTACATTAGGTTAGGCTAGCATTGGGGAGGTTAATCTTAAGGTGAAATAAGCTGAGGTGGGGCTGGTAAATTTTTGTTCCATAATGCGTGGAAATTCAGTTGCTACGCCATAACATCCATACCGATAGAGGGCTGTTTCATCAGCATTACCCACCTGTCACGTTGATATATCACAAAATGAGAGACTGAAAGAGTGAGAGAAATTTGCTGAATAGGTGTTACTGTAATATAAGGAACGCTATATAGAACAAGTGGGTGTTCTCCTTTTTTGTTATATTCGCCACTTGAAAATGTTCAAAGGAGGGCCACCAGACTGGTGCCTGCACTTCGGCACCTCAGCTACCCTGAGAGATTGGAGCGCCTGAACTTGCCTAGCTTATACTACAGACGGGCAAGGGGGGACCTAGTTGAGATGTATAAGCATCTCAGGGGGCACTACTCAGTTGAGTGTCCTTACGTGGAGCTGGGGGACGCTCGCCCCACAAGGGGTCACAGCTAAAGATTGAAGAAGCCGCAAGTCCAGAAAACTGTGAGGGCAAACTTTTTCGGAGTGAGGGTTGTAAACTCTTGGAAAAATCTACCAGAGAGTGTTGTGACGGCTCCGAGTGTGAGCTCTTTCAAGACAAGACTTGACCAACACTGGAGCGGATTCAGGCACATTCAGGAGCCGGTGCATGCCCAGTATTTGCCAACAGTGCGTGACAGAGACGTGACCGATCGCCCGGGCGGCTAGCAGCCGATCTTTTGGTGAAGAAGATAAATGAAAAGGAAAAGTAATCAGAGAAATGACCGATCGTCCAAGCGGCTTACAAGCCGATCAGTGGCGAAGAGGATAAAAGTAAAAAAAGTATAAAGCCGTTTGGGCGGGTCATCCAGTGTTAGTGCAGGAGGAAACCGAGGACCGGGAAACCTGTGACGCTTGGTAGTGAGGATGACACACCCTTCTCGCGTGTGTCTGGGCCGAGGTTCGAACCTTTGACATATTAGTGAGAGTTATGCGCGTTACCGATGTACTACCAAAACCCTTAGATGACTCATGAACACTTGTGCTTGATGCAAGTGTTAAGAGCGAGTGATTATGTCGAGCAATATTCTTCCTCCCTCTACCACCAGCCACCACACACTTTTTTGATTCATGAACTTGACCAAAGAGTAACATATTTAACCTTGTGATAAACTAGGCTTGATAACCTAGTTTTAGCCAAGGTTGTCTCTCCTCTGGGTCAGGGAATATACTAAAATTACTGTACTACTTATCTACAGTAGACTCTACAGCAAGACATATCTTCCTAGATTGAATACACTGATATTGATAATGTCAATTTTTCAAGGGTGGACGCGTATAGTGGTGCAATCACCTTTTGAACAAAAAAAATAACTTAATTTGAAGCCTCAATGACGAGCTTAGATATTGATTTTGATAACGACCAGCGTCCTTGTTCCTCCTGGGAGATAGAGTTATGAGTGACAGTTGATGAGGCGATTCAAGGAGTTTGTAGACGCGTATTGTGTCTTGTTACTGTAAACTTACATAGGGACGCCTTTAGATGGATGAAAGAAAGGGGCATCATTAAAAGCGCCACTGATATTTATAAAGTCTAATAACTATACTACGAAGAATGTCTTTATTTTTCCTGGGAAAGAAACACTTGTCCGAGAAGTCATTGACTGGGCACGATGACTCCAAATTACTTTGTATATTTTATCATTAGACGTATACCCTGCATATTTTTTATTCATATTTGTGGATAATAAATAAAGTGACGAATTATTTTTATGGAAATATACAGAAAATGTGGTAGTAGTTACGAAATTACACAATATTCACTCTATACAATCAGTGCGTGGCAGCTTTACTGGATACAAATCTCGCTCTAATTCATATCACCATCACATTGGGCCATTTCTCGCTACTACCACATTGTCTGTATATTTCTATAAAATTCATTCGTCACTTTATTTATTATCCACAAATATGAATAAAAAATAAGCAGGGTATACGTCTAATATAGTAATTTCATCTGAAAAATAAAGACGTTCTTCGTAGTACTCATAAATATCATGGCGCTCCCCTCACTAAAGGCGTTAAAACAGCTACGGTTTTCCAACATCGTGGTGTAGATTAATATAACCTATTCCTTTTCTATTTTTAATTTCTTTTTATTCTTATTTTTTCGCCCCCTTAAGGTATCATGGGCCTTGTATAGTGAAAAAGTGGTGTACAAATAAAATAGTTGTATTTGCGAACATTGGCAGAACAAACGCTCGTGAAGTGAGAGATACACGTACTAGTACGGTTACTAAATGATAACTCGAATGCACTGTAGTACAAGCTGCTACTAGAGTTTGACGAATTCATTTGTCAGGTTACTAATACTTAACCCGACATTCTCATTTGCACTTTGGACTTGCTGTCCGGAATGTTTAAAAATGGCCGATACAGAGGATGTTAAAATCGCTCTTAGAATGCAGATAACAATTTTCGATGATGCAAATTCGAATGCTGACTTAATCCATTTTCACATTATTGTTATGTTAAGTATACTGTACAGTATACTGTATTTTAATTATCAAGTGGAAAAAATATACAGGAATAGAAAATAATTTGGCAAGACTATTAAAAACAGTGTTTAAGCCTATTTCATTATTAGTTACAAGTTTTAACGTTGATATATAAGAATAATGATGACAAATAGGTAATAGTTCAGCAGTGACTCAGGACTTCATTAGAGTGGGTGGCCTGGGTAAACGAATGAGTCACACATCCGCCGCAGTGGACAGTCGTGTAAAGGGCTGTTTGACATTCACCGCGTTTGTGTTGTCATGCCGTGTTAATGTCTCTGTCTATCTATTTTGGGGGAAGGAAGGTGGGGCTGTGATGGATGATGATACAAAGATGACTGGATGAAAATGCATAAAATAATAAGTGTGTATTCATTTGCTCTATTTACTGCCATCCTAGCCTGATATTTAACATATGGTTGTATTTTTTACCATAATACAGAAAGTCAGGGTGACCAAAAGTAACAAAGAACGTCGAAATGACCCTACACGCGAGTTCGGCAACATGTGATACTCTACAGCCGTTGCTCTTGTGTGATTGTCCCACACCCATCATTAGTATCACGTGAAGGTCCGCCGTGTAGGCGAGTGGTGTACAACTTTACAGTCATATTAGCACCAGTAAGATCCAGTCTTGGTCATCTTTACTCACAGTTATGCAGGCCCAGCAACAGGTAGGGTGTATGTATGTATGTATGTATCCTTAATATGTGAGAACATTCTTACCATTTACTATGTTTGGTCGAAGAAGCAATAGTAGGTGTTGGGCAGTACAATACAAACACGGTACAGTACAGTACAGTACATGACGCGGTGTACACAAGTATGGGTAGTTCACCGTGTGTTACTGTCTGGCCCGTATCAATAAATAACACGGACTTGGTTCACAGCTGTAGAAATCACAGGTGTATCTCTCCCGTCAGTCTGGGTCGTTACTCACGCCTGAAATAATAATATATGACACAATACGTAGTGTTTAGCGACGTAATCCATGTAACCTTATCACTGACACGCGATTTTAAAATTGGATATCGCGTTTAAATACAGTTCCCAGAAGTTTAAGAGGAAATTCAAGACTTGAGAGAGGAATGTGCCCCAGTTAGTGCGGTAACAGAAAAATACCACGAACAGGGCCCCACGAATCTTTTATGAATGCAGATGATATGGACCAGCCAAGCCTAATCTAATCTAAACTATATCAAATCTAACGTCC